ATTCCTGCTTTAACTGAGTGCATTTAGTGAGATGAAAGACTTCTACTATGGTTACATCTGCAGGTTGTATCAGATTAAATCAGACTACCATAGCTCATGAGCTAAGTAAAAACTGAACCACACATTTTCGTCACATGTTTCAAATGCAGCATGAAATAATAAGTTTGCTGCCTCTCCCGAGGCATTGTCAAACTTCAAGCTACGTTAATAAAAGTGGGGAATCTATTTTGAGCCTGCCTTACATCAGACCCCGCTTCATTTTGACCTTTATTCTAGTGATCAGTGAGTAATCTCCCAACTGCACCCTGAATGCTGCTGCACTGTGCTCTGAAACCAATCCAGTGAAAGCAGAATGAGTAAAGACTACAGAGCATTTTAACATTCTTGGCCAGAAGAATCAATCTGCAGCAGTCCACAGGGAAAAGCGCTTAGCTCCACATTTTCAAGGTTCTCCTTGTATCTTTATTCCTGCATATAAACCAGAATAAGATGACAGAACTGGGACTATGGAGAGCTACATGAAACAGACTGCATGTCAGTCAAGATTTTAGAAAATGATTATTGCTCATTGTTCTGCGTCCTACATTAAGGAGTAGTGAAATGTTTTTATCTGTTTTTGGACTCTTTAGTTTCCCTCAATTAAACACAGAGTCTGTAGATGCACTTATGAAGGCTTTGTTCTCGCTGAGTCTCAACAGATCATGCTGATATCTCTTGGCATGTACAGTTTTTGACTTCATTGTCCTCCCACTCTGCTGTTACTGCTTGTGTCAGAGATGTACATTTGTGTAGCATTTGTGTATGTTGACAAGTGCGCATTTGTGTAGCTGGTAGATGCATTTTAGAATGTCATGATATTTTTATTGATCTATGTACTTGTCACATATTTGTCATATGTCAGTATAATGTCTTTTATGTATAAAAACTATATGGATATGTGTGTGTGTGTGTGTGTGTGTGAGGGGAGATATACTGTATAATAGCTTACTGATTTATTTCCTTGTACTGTACTTTAGTATGTCTATATTATGTATTGTCTCTTTACATTTTTATTTGCTTGTGTGCCTGTGGTTATTTATTTGTATGCATGTGTGTTTGAGTCTGGGTGTGTGTGTGAATGTGTTTACTTCTCTTTCTCTTGTGTTGGTGCACATGTAGGGAAGTAACGTGATGGAGGACCAGGACCTCAGAGACATTGGGATCACTGACCCAGGACACAGGAAGAAAATTCTCCATGCGGCACGCAGCTTACCCAAGGTGCTTAATATCATAACTTAACCTTAGGAAAAAAATGATAATCTCGGATGTGGCCTAAAATAGATAAAGGGAAAAAGGCTTTGTGGTTGTGGACAGATCCCATTGCCATATTGTTCACTTGATCAGTGGTTCATCAGAGCTGAAATAGTGATCTTCCAGTAAAACATAACCAAAGGAAAAACATTTTTAACCTACAGGTTTGGGGGCTAACAAATCAAATAGCATGAAGGTAATGACACTGCCTCGATAAAAATGGAAGTAAACTACATATACAGCATGCATAATTACTTATTATCTAAATTCTGACACACAGTGAACATGCTGATCTTAAGTAGGTCTGTTAACAACACTCGCCATCTCAGTTAAACCGGTCAGTATGCTAATATTTGCTACACTGTGTTATTAGTTTTTGGTAATAATTTGGTAATAAACCAGTCAGTCAACCTGCTGGTGGCACTAGAGGACAAGTGACGTGATCAGTAAGTCTCGATTCATCCTCTGGGAGCCATGAAGGTTTGTGTCAGTCAGTGGCAGTACATAATGGCTTAATATGGCTAAAAGCAGCAGCAGTATCCAGCTTTGTTGAGGCACAATTACAGCCACAGCTGGAAAACAAGAATATACGTTCCTGTTTCAGGTCTTTTTCTCAGTACAAAGGTGCATTTCACTGAGGTCTTTGTTACATGTCTCTGCAGGTGAAAGCACTTGGCTGTGATGGCAGTACATCTCTTGCTTCGTGGCTGGATGGACTGGGTCTGCATGAATATCTGCCCAACTTTCTTTCAAGTGGTTATCGTACACTGGAGTGTGTTAAGAACCTGTGGGAGCTAGAGATTGTCAATGTAAGAAGCCATGACATTTATCCAGTACATTTTTTTTAGTTTAGACTGTTTTCAGACGATGGGTAAGCAGGAAACACGTCAGCGTCTCGCTCTCTGACAAAGACCAATGGCTGTTGATGTGTGACATCCTGGACCGGTTTTCATATAATTATATTATTAATCACAAAACCACCTTGATTTATAGATTGTGTTTGAGGTTAAGAAGCACTTTAAATGCTATGTTGAAATAATAGAGAAGCCCTGTGTAATGGTAGGATTTGCATAAAACTATAGCAGACACAGTTTCAGAATCACTGAGCAATTAATAGATACGACCAGATAAAATGTAAATTAAGGAACAACATGGTGAGTGATGACAGGGAAATGTGTACGTTGGTTTAAACTTTATGGAAATAGTATAATGCTTTATGATAACTGGTAATTGCAAAGTAGTGCTAATTTATTTTGGGTTAAAAGTTTAGAGGTGACCGAGAAATGCATGTATTAGTTTGGCCGAGCAAGTGTTGGTTTAGATCACAGCAGTGGTAGATAAATGTGATGCTTACAAGATGATTAATGGGATAGGGAAGAGCAAATAACATTTTCCTCTGCTACATTTTTTTTCTGCATTTTCTCTAATCTTTACGTTTTTGCAAAATACAGGATCATTTTACTTCATCTTGCTTCTAAAAATGATTCATATGACCCAGTCTGTGAAGAAAAAAAATCACTCCTTGGTTGAACTGTGATAAGGGATTGCAAGCAATCATCGTTTCATTTGTAGGCGTCACAAGCTGAGATGCTTCTGAGGTACAAGAAGTTTGTAGATATTTTTGAAGTTTTGCATTGACTTATGTTGGATTTATCTCTGTGTTGAGGGGCTTGTTGCTGTCTCCACTCTGTATCAATGAATGAACATAACCACATGCCACTGGTTTCTTATTCTTTCACCGGACACACAAAATAACATGTTGCACATGCATTTAGCTTTTACAGAGATATCAGCAGGTTAAATCTGACTCTTAACTATTAATCATAATGTAGCGGTGGTGGGAGTAAGTCACGCATGTCCAAGTCTCAAGCAAGTCCCAAGTTACTGTGGTGAGAATCAAGCAATTTAAGTCCCTAATATGAGTCAGGCAAGTCACAAGCCATACAAAATTCTGATGATCTGATCATGATATGGGAATATCATGCATTTAAGTGAAACATTCACAAACCTCCTCTGATCATTAATTATGCGTTCTTAGATTATAAAATGACCCTTAGCTATTAATTGAAAAGGCATGATTTCATGGCTATCAGAACCTCTATTTAATAAAATGGGTCATCGATTTGAAGCCAAGTCTACCATCTGAAACTTAACGTTAGCTAGAAAGCTGTTTGACCAGCCAGTAAGCTGGCTAACGTACACATCCATGTACATAGCTGTCTTTGTGAGTTTTGTAGTTTTGTAGTGACAGATGAAGTTGGATGCTGTCGTGGTCTTGTCAATGATTTTTCACTTTGTATACCACCCTCGTTATGATGAGCCGTATAGATAATGGATGGATGGATAGATGGATAGGCTTTGTATACCGCTTTTCTCTTCTTACTATCACCATCAGCAATATAATCTTTGAATCCAAATTTTGTTCTTTTTGGACTAGGCCCCTCCATGATAGCTGCATTCCTGAACCTGTATTGCTTTTTGGTGGTCTGTTGCATTCTGGGACTGTAGGTTGCCAGGTTTGCACGCATTGCACTAGAAATCACCCACAAAACATTTCTTGTTAATAAAATGTTAAAATATTAAAATGTTAATAATTCAATTTAAAAAGTGAAGTAATTTTTGAGTTGTCTGTCTCAAGTCTGAAGTCATGAATATCAAGTCTTTTACCAGTGTTAGTCAAGCAAGTCCTCAAACGTGCAACTTGTCTGGCTTGAGTCAAGTCATGTGACTCAAGTCTCCTTACCTCTGCAGTGTAGGTACCTACCTACCCTTTGGAACTCCTGTTAACCCCTTCCAATGACTATAAATGCCACTTAATGCTTTACTGGGTTTATTCACATTGCAGTGTTCCATATTTAAAATGCAGTTAAACACCACTTAAGACCACAGTGCTAAATTATCAGCATTGCTACCAGTTTTTCTTGATGTCAGTTGTCATACAAAGATGAAGTTTACTGTTAGTTGCAGCAGTAACCACCAGTTATGTAGAAGATATTATTGTTTAGGTGAAGACAGTCCAAACAGATGATCTGAAATGCCTGATAAGTAGCCACAGAAGGAAGTATATGATCAGTGTTTACAGCCATCATATTTTTCCCATGTATACCTACATATCCACGTGCATCTTGATGCGAGCCACACCGAGACAGCAGTGGCAAAATGGCAGAAACAAGCAACAGCTGCAGTGACATCAGCCGCAGCCAAACATACTGTATATGCAGTGTTTGAGGGATGGTGTCCAGCAGCATGCGATGCAGTACAGAAAGATGGGTGTGAGAGCAGGGCACATTACTTTCAGTGTGCAGAGTAGCAGAACTGCCTCAGAGCATCTTGGCAGAACTCACTTTGCTCATTACATTTCCTGAATCCTCTTCAGCAAAAAGAATAAAGCATCAAGATAATCTACAAGCTGGTCTACACAGGCCCTTTATTACAATTAAAATTTTCTCTTATTGTGCACACCTCATGCATACTGGTCTCACTGGGATTTTGTACATGAGAATAATAAAAGCAGCCCCAGAAACCCAGAGTACAGACCACTGCCTCTCACTGAATGAATAATTGAAGCCTTTAGACAAAGAATGATATGAGCCTGTTAAGGAATATTTTGTACCAGCAACATGATTGCACATGTAACATTAATCACTCAACCCTCCCGTTTCACCCACCTTTACTGGCCAAGCATGAATGTTAATAACCAATTACTGCAAATATTGAGATAATGAGTTCTGACTTCCCCTGAGGATTTTAGTCAAACCAGCTGAAATGACATTTGTAAATGGTTTAAAGAGACAGATAAGATGGATAGATGTGGCAGTTAAACTGTTAAAAAAAAAAAAGTAAATCAACATGAAGTATTTAGATTGTGACAGATGAAATTGACCTATGTCATAAAGTCATCTGAAAATCACTTGCTTATCTGAATATTACCCATCCCTCTATAAATAACCAGGTTCTTCTGTGTTGTTTAACCACTATGTCCAAAAATGGATCATGAATTATAGTGTCCCAGCAAGGAGACAGTGCTGTACTATAAGCTTATGGCAAAACAGATTGGGGTTGAATTATTGACGAGAGTCGTTTCTGTGTGCTTGTGGATGCCTGGCGGTGAGGGGTGTGTGCCACCAGCTCTTTGTCAGTGCATTTTATATGTCTCTATTAGCTTAGTCTAGATAAATTCTTGTATATGAGATATTGATGTGACAATTCACTGGAAGGTCTGCTTCATATTGTGTCGTCTCTAGGTTATTAAGATCGGTCCCATCGGCCACAGGAAGAGGATCATTGCCTCTCTAGCAGAAAGACCTTATGAAGAGGCTCCGACTAAGTCTCGTCGTCTGTCCCCAATTATGGTAAGACTGGTGATATAAAAACTGATACAGTTTACATTTATTAAAGGGTCTTCATTGTTAGCTCTTCATTCAAGTCTCAGAGTGTTAAAACACACTGTTTTCTTTTTCACTAAAAGGAATTTATATGTATTAGAAAGTGTTCAGTTTAATTTACTAAGGCCTTACATATTTTTCTAGCCTGTTGTAGGCAGTAACACAACAAATGTGTCTTTGGTTTATGAAAACACTGGCTAAAAAATCTAGAGCAATGTTGTTCCAGACCTCTTAAAATTCATATGCTGACCTTGACTAAATAGTTTACTTTTTAACTGGTTAATTCATCTAGAGCCACAATGATTAGTTGATTAATTGATTAGAAATTAAGTGGCAGATTAATTGATTAATTAAAATGAAAATAACTATAAGCTGCAGTTTTGTCCCTCTATGTTCTGCCTCTTATCAAGGTCCAGGTCGTGTTAAATGATTAGAAGTTATTGTAACATACATCTGGGTTTCATTGTTATTTTTCATACTTCGGTTGATATGACTGTGACACAGGTATTAAATTAGTTTTTGTGGTACTAAAATGTCATAAAAGGTCTTTAACTTCGTGAACCCTGCAAAAAGCCTGTTCATTAGATGACACTGATTTGATGTTTGCACAATCCAAGCAGGATGTTTTCATTTAAAGCACTTTACAGCACAAAGAGTGTGAACCAGACTGCGGCAGTGTTGGTGCTATTATTTAACCACTAAAGTGCAGAAACGTACTGTCAGCATTAATTCATTTAATAGATTGGGTATGCCCAGTACACCCAATTAGAAGGGTAGCTCTGCATATGGCTTCAGCATAACCCATATTTAGTGTCAGTCTTGGTTTGAAAGCTACATAATGTGAGAGAGTGCTCAGTATTTTTAATAGAGATTGATGATAACACCCTGTTATTGTTCTTTATTGGACAACAATCAAAACACACACTGTCTTATGGCAAGCTGTATTTCAGTGCCAGCATGATTTTGTGAGAGATTGGATCCTTTTCATACTGTAGCAGATATCTAATTTTGGAATGAGATTTTTCAATATTATTATGTTCTGAAACATTAAATATTCAGGGCTGATTTCCCAGGCAGATTAAACTGGGCTGAAAAAGAATCGAGACCTTCCATGAAAGAGGCTTTTTGTTGAGGATTAAGCTTGAATGGGAAACCAGTCCATGTAGACAGTGCTGTCAAATCAGTAATCTGTACTGTGTCTGTGGTGTGTTTCTGTGCATTTGTATGTGTGGCAGTTTCATGACCTCCTGTCCCAGACTACGTCTCCCCTCAGTCAGATGGACCCCTACACCAGTCGCTCCATGGACATGCTCCTGCCCCTGACTGAGTCGGACCGGAGGCGGAGAGGAGTCGACCAAGACTGTAGCGTTTCTCTGCGGTCATACAGCGAGAGACCACGCTCTGTAGTGAGTTCTTCAGTTCATTCTTATCATCTTCAGGGAAACCAGCTAACTCACTTTCAGTTACTAGTAGAAAAACAGAGGAGGAATCTGTTCTGGTTGGAAAGCCTACTAGTTGAGATATCTTGGTGGGCAGAGCCAAATTTAAAAAACATGACTAGAGATTTCACCCCATCATTCATACTGTAGTTGCTCTCATGTTAATATCACGGGATATCAGCCCATATTGTCATCATTGTAGAACAGCAATGAACAGAATTTGCTTTATAGCAATATACAATATGACAAAACTTTTTTGAGGTATTTAATTTATTGGATTAGCCAAAAAGATTCCTGTCTCATATTTTATTCCTTTATCCACAATTTCTAAAGTGATTTTCAAGAAAATAGTTTATAACTGTGACTATTACTATATTATACAGGAGGAACTAATATTATGATGCCTAACAATGCTGCTTCTGGCTGAAAAACTGTTCTCTGTTATTTATATTTTAGCTGGTTGATGTGAATGAAGTCATTCAAGATCACTGTGTCAAAACTGATCTATATCACAATGTGGAGAATAAATGCTAAATTATATTTTAAAACAAATTTTTAAAAATTGTAAAATTATTTATTTATTTAGAAATTATTAGTTTTTAATGAAATACAAATTCATTGAAAGACAACGGAGGAATGATGGCCATAACAAAGCTGTTCAGAAAGGCTTGTTTCCTAGAGAACCAACTTTTACTGAGCTGTTTAGCTTCACTCAGGGAAATGTAACTCAACTAGTTGTCTCCAGAACAGCTCTGAAAGAAGTATTTGAAAAACTAAATATAATAAAAATCGTATCCAGTCTCTTTCACTGACACGAACTGAGTTTTTATGTGCCTTCCTGAATTTTTTCAGTTCTTTAGGAGAGTGAAGTAAGAATAACCTGGTGATCAAATTTTACAGTTTGCTAGAAGACAAACTATGACGCATACACAAACAACATGTATAGTTTCTGACTCTCTAAGGCCAAATAGAAAACACAGATCAGCATCTATAAGGGAAATGTTGAATGAGTGCATTACTCTGAGTTTACGTTGTGTAAAATCAATTCTTATCATTTTCCTAAATGCTTGGTGGGTTATTGTCATTAATATATTTTACTCTGACAGGTGATTTATGAAAGAGCTGAGCACAGCCTACACTGACCTGAAGGCCCAACTCAGTGCATGAATATTTATCGGGCATACCAGCAGATCAAAAAGTACTTATATTAAAGTGCTGACCAGGCAGACTTCAGTACAGCAGTCAGAAGTCTTTTACCTCACCAGCTTGACAAAGAGACAAATTTGTACTGGGAGTCAATGCAGCTACAAATTGGGCCAGTGGAATCTGGCTTTCTGTTTTAGTATAATGCACAATATACAGTGTATAATGAATCAGTCTTTATTAGGGATGTAACGATACCAAAAACTCACCATACGATACTAACATGATAAAAAGTACATTATATGATATTTATCATGATATTAAAAATGAAGAAAGAATATGAAAAATGCCCTTTACTAAATATTAAATCAGCGTGTTTGTGTGTGTGTAATGTCTACAACTGTATATAAAACATAATGCAGCAGTCAGTAGGAGTCTTTTCCTGAAATAAAATAAAATGTTATTGCAGCAGCTGGGTCTTGTAAACGAGTCATACTCACAGTGGAACACCCGTGTTTTAGTACCGGGTTTAACTTGCTCTTGTTTGGTGGCCCTCCCGACCGGTATCCCCTGACCACCAGGGGCAGTATTGAGTAAATTGCTGCTTGGTGCACCAGAACAAGGCAAAGATGATGCCAAAATACTCTAGAGCAAGCCATATGAAGGTGATTTATGCTTTACTGGAGGTGTTTTTCAAAGATCATGGTCTGTTAATTCAAGAGAAAAGACCTAAGGATGGTTACCACATGGTTGGTTTTGTGTATGTGCATCCAGTTTGCTCATCTCTGTTAGTGTTGTGCACAACTGTGTCCCGACTGCTTCTGTGAGACATATCCAGGACTATCTCCTTCCTAAATGATGCTAGTATTGCCTTCGTTCTGCAGTATTTGCAAGTTATGATTCAGTCAGCTTCTTTTCCACCAGTTTCATTTCTTGAAAAAGGAATCATGGTCTGTTAATTCAAGAGAAAAGACCTAAGGATGGTTACCACATGGTTGGTTTTGTGTATGTGCATCCAGTTTGCTCATCTCTGTTAGTGTTGTGCACAACTGTGTCCCGACTGCTTCTGTGAGACATATCCAGGACTATCTCCTTCCTAAATGATGCTAGTATTGCCTTCGTTCTGCAGTATTTGCAAGTTATGATTCAGTCAGCTTCTTTTCCACCAGTTTCATTTCTTGAAAAAGGCAAACTGAAATGCTGCCACACAACAGCTCTAAAAGTCAAGAGCGGAGCATCCGCTATGTTAGTTTCAAATTCTGTGACCTGAACGCTGTTATTCTAGTGAAAAAAAAAAAAACACGTAATATCCTGGTAGATAGGTCACAGTCCCACAATGGCATTGAGACAGTTCTCTGTTGCACTATCATGAAATTATAAATACCATTACATCCCAACTCTTTGTTATTGACTGAGGGATGGATCTGTGTAGGAAAGGTGTCCTGGTACAAACATACAAGCGGCTTTCCACTGTCCTATAGAAGAATGTAATTTATTCACTTGCATCTCCTCTTTCTTATCCTCACCAACCAAGGATTTTGTATCTTTGCAGGACAGACATAGTGAACGACACAAAGAGTCTCGTTTAAACCTCCGGCCACCGAGCCACTCTGCTACCTACGCCACAGTGTCCGCCTGGCATCACCAGCCTGAGAAACTCATCCTGGACTCCTGCGGGTACGAGGCAACTGTAAGTCCCTTTTTACTGTCTTTACATGACACAACGTACAACATAGATGAGTGTTACAAAATATTTACCATGCTTTTCATCACTGTTTACCATGAAATAGAGTGATACTTTACTGTGTAGCTGACTTGTAGTGTGTCAGCACCAATACTGAAATCTTAATAGACTCAACCCTGGTGTGTTTTTATTTTTTCTCCTAGTATCTCGGATCAATGATAATCAGGGATCTACGAGGGATTGAGTCCACACAAGATGCCTGTGCTAAAATTAGGGTAAGTATTACAAAAAACCTTTAGGAATATTTTTTCTAACTTCATTTGCACTGAGCTTTTGGAAAATAAACTATTCTGAAGAACAACTGAAGACTACTTTGTTAATTTCATGATAATAATGATGTCAGACATGAAAGAACATGTTAACTGAAGAAAAGCCTATCTGTAATATACAGCTGCCAGTCCCTGTTGTCATAATCATATTTCTAGCGCATGAACCATTATTTTTTATTGTACTACATGCACCTCAATTGTACCCATTCCAGAAATCAAAGGATTCAAGAAAGGGTCCAGTTGTCATTCTGTCCATTACCTACAGAGGGGTCAAGTTCATTGACGCAGCCACGAAGGTAATGGGAAAGTATGTTTGTGCATCTCTGTGTTTATTGATCGGTCCAACCCAAACATTCCAGCTGCCACTCTCAACCTCCATTAGTGGTTGGTTTCCAGTTAGCACTTAACTTCTATCCTTGTCTTCGTTAGACCATAGTTGCGGAACATGAGATCAGAAACATTTCATGTGCTGCCCAAGACCCAGATGACCTCTGCACTTTTGCTTACATCACCAAGGATCTGAAGAGTGGCCACCATTTCTGTCATGTCTTCAGCACAGTGGAAGTGGTGAGTAATACATCTCTACGCTGGTCTGAACAAACACCTTGGCCATGGTCGATATCCCTCTCTTAGTCGCTCATTCACCACTGTATGAGGAACTGTCAGTAGTTTAATCAATACTGAGCAGGACATTGAGATTTCGGGCACTTACTAATCATCAGCATTTTGCATCATTACTGTCAGTTGAGTCTTGTAACAATTTTTACATCTATAAATGTAAAGTGTAGGATTATTTGTAGAAAGAATAGTGTACTCTGTGGAAACTTTTTTCCCATTTGTGGATTGTTATGAGGGCAGTGTATAATGGATACATGTACACAGTCAATTCAGACACACAAATAAAATGGTAGATGGTAAATGTCGTGCACTACTGTATATAGTAAATACAAAGGTGCTTCTCCTGTGTTAACAGTCACAGGAATTTCCCCACTGTGGGATCAATAAAGTCTTACCCTACCCCCGAATTCCTTACAGTCCGTAGAGAAAAACCCTTATATCTCCAAAAACTTCAGGTTTTTATAAATCCATCACTGAGTAATCTAGAAAAAGGTGTCCTCCTGTAGGATGTCTGGAATCCCACAGTTAAAACGGCATGCAACATTCGATGGACATTATTTTCTTGATTGGCTCATCAAATGACTTGATTGAAGTCCCACTCCTGCTATGCATGACATTTTCATGTACAGCGACAGATTGTAATTTGTCTTCACTTCTGTAAAGGTCAACAGCAGTCTTTTGTCTTTGGCAAGAGGAACCACTGTGGAGCCATATTTACCTGCAGGAAAATGGGTTTAACTGAACTGTGATGATCAAAGTGGTAAAAACAAGACTTAAGCCCAAACTTTTTAAGCCTCACTTAACTGTATTGGCCACAATCACTTTGCATACAGTATGTTCTGCCTTTCTTAGTGTTTGATATTCATCAAAGAGATGGGGGCTTTTGTGCACTATGCAATGTTTTTGTGATTGACAACAAATTGTGGAAGACTAGCATTTACAAGCGGAATACAATTATGGTAATTCTAAATATTGAAATATTAAATACATAAGATGTCAAAACAGTCATTAGAAATTATGAATACAGTTGATTTTGTTAATCCTAACGCTAAATGTGTGTGTGTGTGTGTGTGTGTCAAGGCTAATGGGAATTCAGTTAAAAGCCTTTGAAAACCAAAAGACAACCACTGTGAGGACGTGGTTTTGTGTCAGCGCCAACTGATATGGTAGCTGTTATATGAGTGATTATTACAAATTTAAACCCATTGTTTTCTATTTGCTCAGACACAGACCTATGAGATCATCCTAACACTGGGACAGGCGTTTGAGGTGGCATATCAGATGGCGGTCCAGTCCAGGGCGCTCCAGAGACACTATGCCCCCCCTTCTTCGCTGACGTCAGAGGTCATAGACACCAAAATCAGCCGCCCTGTATCTCAGTCGTGGAGCAGCATGCGGAGAACAGCAGTGAGTATCACCCTACAAACTCTCAAAACTAGACTAAATGTGTGGACCTGTGAGTGTGTCTAAGTATTTGCTGTACTTGTTAAAAGGACAGAGGAACAGCAGAAACAAGCAGTTGTGCAATCAAAATTTGGAAAAGCTGCACAGACCCTATAACTGAGTTTTTACCCACCACTGACTCCCCAATGAGAAACCTACAAAGGAAGAGTTGTTGTGTGCGTGGTAGAAAGTGATGAGTCAGTACTTTGCTGCCAATGTTTTCTCACCCAACCCCCAACTGTGGTCTGGTCAGGGGATATTTTCTTTTGTGTGCATAATTGAAACATGATGAAAAAAGTGGTTTACACTTTTGTTGTTTATGATTTGCTCTTGAGATTTTTCTGAGGACTCAGCCTTAATAGTTGGACTCTTCCGCTGCTTCCTCATTATTGATTGAGCATGTTGCATAAATGTCCCAAGAGCTGAGCATTGATATATTGACCTCTCAGGCTACATATAATGAGCACTCAGTGATCACTATCACCTGAGAGAGCTGCACAGCTGGGAGCATGCACACTGCTGGACCACATGCTTATGCAGAAACACAAATCACATTTTTTACTACCTGCCTGTAAGGTAATATAGAGAGTAATCACAAAGCTACGTAATGAGTCTGGCTGGTTGGGAAGACACTGCTGCAGTTTGTTTTGATGTTTTTATTGCTGTGTGAATCCTACTAAAGCCAGTCAGTTTAACCAACCATACAGCTAATTAAAAACAACTTTCACAAGGTGTTAACTGACCGTTCACTAAGCCCCTGACTGTGTAGTTACAGTTGCTATACCTGTGAAGCTTTACATTCTCGTACAGAACAAATTCAGATTACTGGAGAAGGGTCCGACTGCGGAATACAGATCGCCTCAAGTTATGCCCCCCCCCCAATACATCACTCAAGTTACACCCCTATGGACCAATTAGAGGACGAGACCTTGTTACCAAAAACACAAGAAGTAGAAAAATGTTTCTGAATAATTTCCAGTTTTTAGTTCTAAGCAGCTGAACTGCTACTACTTTCTTCTTTGTTCATTCAGTGCATTTAAATGCTCTGTCCCTCTTTTCTATCATTTTTTAACGTCTTTATTCTTGTCTTCTTGGTCCTCCTGCTTCCCAGGGTGCCCCTCTACCTGAATGCCGCTGCTGTCACTGTCACAACACGTGTACTACTACCCAACGTCCTTCCTTCCTCCCGTTGCACTCTGTAACCCCCAGAGTCCAGGTCCTTCTCTTTCCTTTCCTCTATTCAGTCCTTACTCATCACACATCTGCTTACACACCACCACCCTCCTCTTTTTTTTTTTGTTGCTGGGGTGCTGCAGTGCACTCTGTCTATTGTTTTGTGGTTTTTAATATTTCACACATAAACGTTTTTCACGTTGCTTTACTTTTCCATCTCTCATCGTCACCTTGCATTTTTAAATTTTAAGATGCAGTTAGTTCTGCGCTTAACCACATCCAGGGGATAGTTGTTTTGTTTTGTTTTTTTATCTGAGTTACCTTATATGAGGACTGTTGGCTAAATTGAGCTGGTGAGGATTTGTTCTATAGTGGTCATAAACAAGATGGCTGAAGTTGTCTCTGTTGGATTCCATGTACTGCATCTATCTTTTTAAGATTTGTTGAACTGAAGGTGTCATCCATGAGCAGGGAGTGTAAAACGTTCAAATGCCTGTGGTTTATTTTTAGCCATTTCAACTTATATGTAACTGAAATAATCAGCATAATATGAATGTAGACAGGTGTCTCTTGATTGCACATGTTATGACAATAGCCACAGGCGTAGTGCACATTGCGTTCGATCTTCTAATGATACTATTTTTTAGTTCCCAGAGACTGGTAGTTTCTGTGTACTGCTGCGGCTCACAGAGGCTCAGTATATTTTCTGTCAGACATCACCCATGTTGTGGATTGAACCCTGAGTGTCCGTGATTATAACATGATCACTGGACTGTGCCTCTAATCCACATGCTCATGTGTGTGCTGAGGACTTATCAGTGTGGCGCAATGGCCTCCACTGCCGTCCGTTTCACACCCTCCTCTCGTCCCTCCTCCCTCCCTCCCCCGGCAGATTGACCCCCTGGAGATGGACACAGACATGCAGTCCCTGGGCAGCACCACCTGGCTCTTGGACCAGCGGGACTCCAGCAGGCGTCCTGTCAGCACCAAGTATGAGACCACCATATTCTGAGGCTGGATCCCCACAGCTGCCCCTCTGCACTCCCTCATACTTCTCCTCCTACATTTGGTTCTCCATTTATATCTCTCTCTCACACACCCACACCCACACACACACACTTATATACATGCGAGCCCTGTGCCTTCTCACTGTGATGTTGTAGCACCCCTTGGGGCTGCCTACTCCTGCACCCTTTTTTGCCCTGTCCAGCAACCCACATCAACCTCCTACCTGCCATGAAAAATCACTCCTGGGGCTCTCCCGTGTCTCCCCAACACCCATGGCAGCCTCCCTCGCCTGTTGCTGCTGCAGCCAATGGTGGAGCCCTGGAACAGATGATCCTGGACCGATCTCATTTTACATGGGCCCTGCTCTCTCAACCAAACTGCCTCTTCCTCCTCATCCTCTTCTTCCTGCCAACTTGCATCTGCCTCCAAATCCCCGATAGCTCCCAGAGGTTGCGTCTTTATTTTTCTTCCTCTTTCAGCCAATTAAAAAAAAAAAAATTGATTCTCAACAGGCAAAACAAGCATGACCATTTTCATTTTGCTTTGTATCTAGACTCCTCATTTACACCAAGTTAGAGAATTTCCAGTTGCTAAGTATGTAATACCAAAGTGGCCAGTGTGTTACCCTGTTGAAGGAAAAGTTTAGGGAATTATGCTTCATTTATTTCTTGCTGAGAGTTACAAAAGTGATACCATTTTCATTTCTGTATGGAAACTCGGAATCTACAACTAGCAGCTGCCTAATTTAGCTTAGCATAAAACATGGAAATGGGGAAATGGCTGGTCTGGCTGTGTCTTAAGTTAACAAAATCTGCCTAACAGTACTTCTAAAGCGCTCTCAAATACAAACACATAAGAATGACAAATTGCTACTTTGCTTCCTGTTAGCTACTAGAGGTTGCATCTTAATTACTTTTCTTGTTTTAGGCATTTTTTTTAATGATCAAATGTTGGGGACTGCATAACCATGTAACAGTCATTTTGTACAGATCAGATGATGGTTTCTAATGAGACATGACATTAATTAGTGAGCTTAGGAGGTGTTGAACATTGGAAGGAGCCTTTTTGTAAGATAGCCAGCTTCACATTTCCTGCATACACATGGGAGTGGTATCAGTATTATCAAACTCTTGGTAAGAAAGCAATGAAGAGTTTTCTCCAAAATGCTGAATTTTTTCTTTAATCGGCTCTTTTGATGTCACACAGATTTGAGTTTTAACTAAATCTGTTATTTGTTTTCTGTATTTTTTCAGCATCTTTTTATTTTTAATTTACTGACTTAACGATTGTTTTGCCTCAAGACAGTTATTACTTTTTTCTTTCTCCATCTGTAGCCTTTCCTGTCTTACCAGGCATCTACCACTGTGAGGCACTATGAGGAGGCTGCTTTGCTAGCATGGGATGCAAGATGGACAATTAATCACTGAAAGGCAAAACAGCAACCTGCAGCAAACCTGTAATTTTCTACGCATTTGTACAGTACTCATAATAACAAGACGATGGATCGGTCATGATTCTATCACTGATGTCTGAACTCAAATGGACCAAGAACTACTGAACCCCTGTAGACACAGGTGGACAACTTTTCCTACATTTTACCGAGGACAACAGCCTTACTTCATTTCGGATTATCTATAATCAATTAAACCCCCCACCTTCCCCTCAACCCCCCTGAGCACCACCACCCAACAAGTGCACGCCTCCCCCCTACTTCAAAAACACTAAAGTAACACAACACGTCTGATTTACTGGTGTATCAAACTGACTGTGACTGGCTGGCATGACGTTGCTCTTACAATGGTACAGTTTTGTCCAGATGAGCCTTTGCTCTGGCCTTGTACTGCCCTGTGCCTCTCAGCATTCATGGTAGCACTGAGAGATTGCAAATCACAGCACCTTCTTGTCAATTTATAAAAACACTGTGTTAAAACATGGCACTATCCCTTTTAATACCTTTTCATTTCCTATGGTGCAAATAGGACAGTGCATTTTGTGATACTTTTTGATAGATGGGGGGCTGACTGAAATACTTGTATTGTATGAAATACAGAATGACTAAGAAGGGATCATGAAGGATCTCGGCTTTAATACAACCAGAGGCAAAGAAACAGAAACAATTTGACCCAAAAAATTACATAGACTTAGTATACTGACATTGGTTCTGCATGTCACAATTTTACTAATGTAAACAAAAACCTTGGCATGAATTAATAAACTCTAGTATAATAATGAGCCCCGAGCACAGTTTGGTGCCCACTTCCAAACTTAGTATCTTAATATCATGACCACATGGGTAGGTATCCATGCTGTTTCACGCCAGTTTAGACAGTACACGTAAATTTGCCACTTGAAAAATAAAACGGCGGTAAAAGGACTTAATTCCACTACGTTAAAAGAGCCAAATGTAAATGTTGCTGTGGTGTTGTGTTAATGTGAATGGATTTGTTTTCCTGAGAGCGTGGCACCATATTTTCAAAAATTTAAAGAAAAAAAAAAAAAATTTCCTCCTGCACTGTGACTAAAAAATGCTCGTTGTGGAGTTGACATATCTGTGGGTTCCCACCCCTGTGTGCACTACCTGCTGTGTGTGCTGTATGCCTTGTTTCTGTGCGTCCTCATGGGAGTTTTGACTGTTACATCACTGGCCACTGTCCTTGTCTGTGTACACTGCAGGAGATGCAAGGTATCGAGCGCCTCTCCTGAAGACGGTGTGGCTGGAGACTGCCTGTTAAACTGTTAGCTGGTCTGTGTGCAGTACTGTGGCTGTGTCATTGCCACTCTGTTCTGACTGTTAACTGTTAGCTTCCACTGAAGATGCATGTTGGCACTGTTTTTTGTGTTTCGTACCCCTTGATGCACTCGGCCTGAGCAGTCTTTGTTTGTACTGTAGCAGTGTCTCGTCGCCTCCCGCTCATCTGCCACTTGCTTTTTACATTCCCTCTCTCTGTTACACACTGGTCTTCATCCCTCCACTCTTCCATTGTCATCACATATGTTCTTCCATTTTATATGTCACCAAGACAACCTGCTCTAGTACGGATGGATAATATAAAAGCATTACACTTTAATGAGCAGCAGCTATTTAAAGCAAGTTTTGGTGGCATGATTTGGCTGTGCATGTACTGGTCTTTAACATTGGTGTTCTCCTTGTGTAGCTCACCCCAGCGTTCAAGTTTCCGGATACCAAGCTGTGAGTTGAAGGGGAGCAGCCGATGCGAGTGCGTTTTGCTTGTTCAGTTAGTGGGCAGAGCAGTGGAAAAGAGATAGCGAGAGAGAGAAAACGAGAGGTAAGCCTTATGTAATGTGCAGGGCCAACTAGTAGTACTCGCTGACATTTAGATCTCACTCTGTATATCTCCTGCTCCCCCACTGCCCCCCGATATCAATCCCAACACACAGATGAAAGGTAATCTGTTGTCCCACATCACTGGTTAAACAGGGCTTGTGTTTCACTACTGCCTTGAGAAAGGTCAATCAGAAAGGTCAAGTCTATTTCCTGGTCTCCATGTGACTTTCTGATCTTGTCATGTAGGTACCGTAATGTTTAGAGCACTGTAGACCATTAATTAGCATTTCTACTGATTCAGGTGAATTGGAGATGGTAACTGTGGGAACTATTAAAGGGGTAAACAGAAATGTAACAGTATAGAGAAAAAAAATGTACCAGCATACAATGCTTTGCCCATGTTTGTGGACAGAGTATGGTTTGTCAATGAATATGCGATACTGTTTCAAATTTCAAAGCAATATTATATTACGGAAATTAAATACTACAATGGCAAAACAATCCCTCAACCCTGTTGTCAGCATTGATTTTATTTAATGGATGAGTATCAAAAGACAGAAGTTAGTGACAATTATAACAATTACTATACAATTATACCACCAGTGTTTCCCCTGCTGAAGAGATTAGTTGGGGGCATAACCTCTAAACTCAACAAATAATTAGCCCCATTTTATAAATGTAATGTTTTAAAATATATTCAAGTCACAGGGTTAAGCATGTGATTTTTTTTTTTTAAGTGCCTGGTGATCTTTGAAAATCATAGATCATTATTGCTGTCTCCATGGTATTTCCAGTGGGCTGGGATAATTCTTTGCCTTCCATTGACTTTGTATTGCATGAAGATGTTTCTTTGACCATTTTGCTCTAAGTGAAAAATGCCTAAAAGCTGGTGTGTAGTACGATGTACTACCAACAAGGCAAAGAACCCATAGTTAGTTTTAAGAGCTGACAAAAATGCTTTAAGAAGAAAAGTGGATAAGTTGGGAGGCATTAGCAGGAAGAACAAAGACACAGGGATCCTGACACCGTCTGTGTGCAGCAGGCATGTTGGTATATTTGGAGGTGCCTTAGCTAACTACAGTAGCTTGCTAACACATAGCAGGAGGGAGGAAAATTACAATTTATTTCCAAAATAGAGCCAGATCTAGAGAGAAGTTGGGGTGCAGCTGATGACTAAAATGATGAGACAAGTTAGCTGTTAGAATGTTAGCAAGCTACTGAGGTTAGCTAAGGCACTTGCAAACATGTCACTGCTGAGCTTTCTTTATAACACAAGTTGGATAATGTCAAAACCCTTTAGCTTAACTTACAGAAATACAGTAACCTAAAATGACATTTGGAAATTTGACTTAACAGAGACAGAACGGTCGCTGCACACGAAGGCATATCAAGTGTCAGGATTCCAGTTTCCTTGTTCTTCCTGCTAATGTCCAAGTTTGTCTTTTAAAACAATAACTCTGGGTTCTTCACCTTGTTGGCAGTGCATCCTACCATACAGCAGCTTTTAGTCATTTGTAAAAAGACCAAATTGTTAGAGATGCCTTCACACAATACAAAGTCAGTGGAGCGATATTGTTTTCCAGTTCAGGTCTCCTTAAACTTGCACTTCCCTATATTAAGCAGATGAAGACATAAAAGCAACCACTTAAGCAACTATACATAGGCGTCAATGCGCATCTACACAGCACAGGCATTTATGGGTAAACGTAGGTTGCTGATGGTCGCAGACAGGCCGACATGGACACCTCCCAAATTTCAGCTATGCATTGTGCAGAGCTGCATGTCCTGCACGCCAATTGGTTGATCCAGCATAGCTTTGACTGAGATGTAGCTAATTGGTCTGCTAGCAAGCACTCACATCTCCAAAACCATTGGAATAAATTTCAAAATTAGCATTACTTGGCTAGACTGACTACATATTCTGATAGTCTAAACAGTTTATCAGCACTTGAAGTGGTATATAAAAACAGTCCTAGGATGAAAATGATAACCGCTTTGAGCCTGGCTCAAAATCTACATTTCTGTTTCCTGACTTATACAGTTTATGTACTTTGAGATTCCCCTAGTCACAGTGTTAACATTCGCACAAGTATACAGTAAATGCAACAGCTATGCAACTGTCTCTGAAACGACAGACCCGTACTCAGAAAATGTGCTACGTTATCTCACAAACCACAACGCACCAGCTACCAATAAATTCATACCAGGCTGCAAAGTTTGCAAATGTTCCAGTTCCAAGTTTGTTTGATTGGTAGTTTTATTACACCATGATAAATATGAACTGATGAAAGAACATGGAGAAAAACGAGCCACTACCTTGTTGCCACAACAGTTTCCCTAATCACAGAATAGCACAAATGAAGTTCACCTGACATTATAGAAGTAAAGTCAAAATCATATTTAAGACTTTTTGAAGCCTAAATTTTATATAATTGATTTTTAGACTTTTTTTTTTTAAAGGACCTGTGGAAACCCTGCAAGTGTTGTTCAAAAACCTTGTTGGTTTTCAAAAGATTACCAGGCATTTATTTTACTTCAGTGTTGTCCAGGGGAAGCACTGATATAGATATAGATATATATTTTTATTTGTGATCAAAGGTGTATTTATAAAAAAAAAAAAGAAAAGAAAACAGTTCAGAAAGAAAAATGCACATGGTCTTTGGTAAGTATCACATAAAAGTGTCAACATGAAGGTAAGAAACCTGCTACATATTACAACCCAAGTATTCTGTACAAATTAGCATATTTTCTTTGGTACTTTGTTTAACCTGAGGGTGTTTAACTTGAGAATGTTTTCCAGCAACCGATTATTTGAAAAGCATTTCAGACAAGCCCTTGGGCTCTTCTGCTATGACTAAATCTGACTTGTACTGAATTTTCACATTAACGCAATATAAGTGGTTACTGCGGTCTGATCATTTTCTAATGTTTTGTGCATTCAGGCTACCTATCTATAGTTTACTTTGAGTATGGCAACTCACTAATGAGTTCCCCTTAAAGGTACAATGTGTACGATTTAGAAAACTTTATTTGCAGAAATGGGCCATAATATGCATAATTATGTTTTCATTAATAGCAAATAAGAATCATTGTATTTTCTTTAGCATAAAATGAGCCTTTTATATTCACATGGGAGCGGGTTCCCTGCCATGGAGGCCGCCATGTTGAGCTGCCATGTTTTTTACAGTAGCTAACAACAGATAAACCACACACTGGCTCTAGAGTGAGAATTTCATGTTAGTTTGGATTTGGAGATGCTTGGAAGATGAAGAAGTAGTAACATTATGAGGAACAGATGTTTCCAGAATGACACCAAAGGTGCCTGCTTGTTGCTGGACAGGTAACTTAGTCTAACAAATAAAGTTAACCTAAATACAAGTGTTCAATAGCTTTAGCTAGATCATGGCCGGTGCTGGGTAACCTGCTGCGGTCAAGTGAGCCACCTTTAGCTTTTGCTTGGTCAAGTCTGCCACACTTGTTTTCCGAGTGCAAAGGCTGTTTTATGTGATGTATGAGAGCAGTCTGCAACCTCGCTGCTAGGTGTCACTAAATCTCACATGCGGCACCTTTAAATACTCTCACTTTATATACACTGTAAAGCTACATGTTCAGAGCAACATGGCAGCTTATGGTAAGGTCACCAGAGGTCATCTTGGTCACCCTCAGCCTAGCGCGAATCCTCCTCAGCCTCTCCTGGTGAGAACAGCAGTTTCCTGAGGATGGGTGCGTAGAAGGGCCCGAAGACTGTTCGGTTGAAGTGGACAATTCGCCCAAAGGCCGTCCCCAGTTTGGCGAGCTCAGCACTCACCAGCTTGAGGGAAGCAGGCAGCTCAGGAATCCTTTTAGCGGGGCCGCCCTGCAGCATGGCCTGGAGGAAGTCCTGTACCCTTTCTCCTGCGTTTGATTGAGTGAGAGAGAGACAGAGAGAGAGAGAGCGAGAGAGAGAAAGCAAAGCAGTCAGATTTCTGCAGCAGCACACATTCAAGTTTAAAAACATTTACAAACAACTAAAGCTAAATGAAATTATGATGCACCTTTCCTGTTGCTCTAAAACTGTGAAAAACACATTTTGAAGATGCACGTACTAAAACACATGCAACACTTTTTAATCTTAAGCCATGAAGTTTTTGCTTTAATTTAATATGTGAGCATATAGTATTTTCCCCCAGTTGTGCTTAAGAGCTAAAACTACTTCATGATGTGTATTGTGTATTGACAGAAAGTAAATCTGTTGCAACTATTCTGATAACAGATCAATTGTCCAAAGTGTTGTTCATAAAGATTCAGTGGCTCCAGCTGCTCAAACGTGAACATTTGCTGCTGCTTTTTCTGCTTCTTGGATTTTGGACTGTTATACTAGCCAGTTATCCCTAATTGCTGATATGTCATGAATTTGATTAATCAAGGAAATAATAGATGTGTCAATAACAAAAATTCTTGTAGTTCCATTATAAGGCCTGTTTTCCAGGTGCACTCACAAAACATGAGCTTGTCACTCAGACTAAAAGATACAATCCTGTCTAGATCCAAATACCTTTCCAGTTTGGTTCAAACTGTTTTATCAGCCTAAAAGGACAGACGTTTCTAAAACAACTTTAATACAATGAGATTATATCCAGAAATAAATATTTTGGAAATGAAATATGTTGATTTATAGCATTTCTCTGCACTTCTGCGTCAGATAATCATGTACAGTATGTAGCCCTGCTGTGTTCGTGTCTGACCTATGAGTGTGCGGACAGGGTTGTTGTGTTTCCACAGGTCCGATATTTGTCCCTTCAGCAGATCCTGGCTCTCCTGGGGCAGCGCTGCTCCTCCCTGGCTGCTCTGAGCTTTGTTCACCTGCTGCACCACTGTTTCCCCAAGCCCCATTAACGCCCCCTGTAGGTCATCCTCCCTGCAGCACCAGAAAGCAGCATTAGACAAATTACCAGCAGCTTTCATTAGATGACTAATAAGTCACAGGCTTGGGACTCATGTAAGTCAATAAATAAGGGTGTGTAATAACATTTAGGTCTCTCAAAAGAGGTTTAGATTAATTAAAATTGCATTTTATTAAAAGGTATTTAAGGGAAAAATAGCCTGTGCTATATTTCACTGCAGGTTGGACCAATGTGAGCAGACCCTGAATATCACAAGCTGTTGTTCCACATTCATCTAATAATCATGACAGGGCTTCTCTTGAACAGAAAGAATGAGGTTAGCTGGATCCATCCTGACAAGCTAGTTGCCTCCTGTCACCTCCATTGGTTTCCTTCTCATACAATACCTGTTCCCCATGACAGCCAGAACATTCATCACCACAGTTTCCTCTTACCTGGTGTGACTGCCCTCCAGCAGGGCAGTGATGGTCTGCCTGAGTTTACCTATAAACCCCTGCAGGGAGGAAACAACTCCTCCACACTGAGTGTTGATCAGGAGCAGCACTGACGCCTCCAGGATCAACATCTGGAGCTGCTGGGCCAGAGCATCCAGGCGGGCTTGGTCCATCAGTACAGTCTGTGTGTGGAGGGCAGGGTCAGGTGTCATATGGGTAACCACAGGAAATTATCAGCATAAAGATAAGCCTGTCCAAAGAAAACCAATAATCTGGGTGTTGGAGACAGGAAAACAATATTTCCAGGTCGGGGTTACTTCTGCCCCAGAGGATACTTCTGGTGCTGCCAGGAGGTGAACTAGTTAGCAAGCGAGCAGAGAGGCATAACCAATTGGCTGAAGTTAATGGAGAAACAGTTGAAATAGCTAACCATAATGGATAAGTTGCTGAAATAGACTGTGAACGTTTCAACCTTTTACACATTTAGATGTGTCATTGTAGTACAAACTTGACCAACTTAATCACCGACAGTTTAATTACATATAAACAGTAGTGTAGGTTCAGTTCATCTGACGGGGTTGTGCTGACACGTCTGACAAAAGAGGCTGAGAACCACTGTTCCACTATACTGCATGAGCTCTAATGTGTTGTCATAAGCTTTAACGTGCAGTAGGCTGAAGGGGACTGAATATATTCCCTTCTAATCAATCAGATGTCACTCAAATGAAAGGCACAGTGTGATGTCATTTTACAGGCTGCACCTGACCTCAGGATATTTCTGGTCCTGCGGGTCCCAGTGTAGCAGACTCATGTAGGCCCGGTTGAGGACAGCTGTGGCACTGACAGGGCCTTGGCTGTCAGGACAAGGTGAATCAGACTGGGCTTGAATGGCTGACGCCTCCTTTGACGCTGCTGCCTGAAGCCAAGCAGCTGTATTATCCAGAGAAGCTGAAAAGAAATAAAATGCTTGTAACAAATGTGTAACTTAGCAATTACACATGATTAAGAAGAACTGCAATGCCACTGAATGACCCAAGACTCACAAGGTGTTTTAACCAGTAAACACATAGATGTATTAATGTTTTCTTCAAAACGGGGTTTAAATGTCTGTTTGCGGAATATACAGATAGAAACCAGGTCGACTGTATTTGCAGCACATTTGATTCATTCTAGCATTAAACAGAAAATACTTCTGTGTCAAGGCAGGGCATGAAAGTGTATTCTAGTTTAGAAGGAAAGATAAGTGACAAGACGAGTAACTGGGTAATCATTTGTTATTTTTTTAAACTAATGATCTGGTTTCAGCTCATCTGTTTTTCTAGTGTTTATGAAATAAGCAATATGTTTGTTTTAGACTGTTGGTCTATAAAAAAAACATGCAGTTTGAAAATGTCACCTCAAACTCTGAAAACCTTTAATATTTCCTGACATTTTATAGACCAAACATAATTAAAATGATTGTACCTATTACCACAATGAATTAATTTGCAAACACATTTGCTGTACTTGGACAGAGTGACGCCTGAACCAAATGGCTGGCTGTCCATCTCCTACATATGACAGGCTTTAAACTTGTAGGATGGTGCTTTAGAGCAGCAAGGGTCACAAATGGTTTAACTGAAAACTGAAATGACCAAGAAGATGATAAATGTCAACTTTATCATCCATCACTCATGCTGCAGCAGTCTAGTTAGAGATGTAAATGCCCTTCCTCACCTGGCTGCTTGTCCAGAATCTGCTGGAACTTGGCTCTCTCATACTGCACAGCCTGCTGCAGGAGGTGAGGCCTCAAACTCTGGATGGTAAAGTTGACCATGTCAGTCTTCATCAGCCCCAAGACATGGAAAATCCCTCTGCAGCAAGAGTGGGAGGGTCACATTTGGGTGAAAATACAGGCATGCAATATGTATTTATATAACAAAGAGATGAAGATGCTACAAAAAAAATAAAAGGAATAACCAGGAAAGCCACTGAATCAATAAAAAGTCATTTTAATTTATATTATAATTGAGTTTTTTGTGTGAGGTTGTTCCAGAGTCATGGAGCACAAGCATGTGTTACTTTTCACATTTAGTATAGTGTTTACTTATAACCTGCCGGTACTCACTATCGAAGTAACAAGCACACTAGCAAATACATTTAACCTGTAGCACATAAATTAATACACTGCACTAATAACACAATAGCCGTGCAGCCATTCATTCATTCATTTTCTACCGCCTAAACCCTGAACGGGGTCCTGGGGGGGGGATGGGGGGCAATCCCGGCCGGCAATCGGGCGAAGGCGGGGTACACCTGGCTGCAGAATCGGGACTTGTGTGAAATGCATGTCAGCAGTCTGGTGAATGGGTCAAATAAGCTGGGTTTTTCGATCCTATGCCTGATACAAGCCATTGACCTGCTCTGACCTCAGGAGCTCCACAGGGCTCTGGATGTCCCTCAGTGCTCGGATGTCTGGGTCACGCACAGGAGCGCACAAAGACGCCATGGTGTTGATGATGTATCTGGCCAATCTGTGGAGGTCCAGAGCTCCATGATCAACCTCCTGCTGGATCAGCTCCATGTCCAGCACCTCATCCAGCTGGGCTCTCAGTCTGATGTGACCGTGCAGCAGCAGGGACTTCAATATCTAATGGGAAACAAATTTTTGTAAATTACATTCTAAAGTTTGTTTTATCCTTAAAGACTCATGTGGTATAGAGAGTGTGATCACTACAAGGCGTTATCCTTTTCCTTTACACATAGAGGTTCAGTCTAACCATATCAAGCATCTTAATAACCAGATCTGCACAACTTATTAGTTGCATGGCATCGTTCTCATTGTTTCTGTCAAAGCAAAACCGACCACTTGTCACCACATCCTCTCCACTTGTTGTTTAATCAAGGTATTCAATAGACCTTTTTCCCAGCAGACATCTTGAGTTGTCACAGTAGATAAAACACAGCTAACAAGACGGCTGATGCGGTGTCCCACTAAACAATGCCACTCAGCCAGCATGTACAGTACAATGCCATGATCCTGGAAGTGGCTCACATAAATGGATTGCAGCCATCGTGAGTGTTATCAATTGCACCTGTGCTCGTCCTCTTATGACATGTCAAAATATAGGCTGTGAAAAAGGTCTATAGGTGATGCCAATTACAAGCTATATATTTAGTGCCCAGATTCCCAGTATTTTAACTGGAGTGCTCAAATATACAACTACAAGCCGTGCAAAATGTCATTGACAATTATAATGGTGAAAGGATCTGTGACATAAATGATACGATAACAACTTTCATAATCAATAAAAATTAAAAGGGTAATATTTCTGTGGTTTAATTGCTCCAGTTTAATAAAAATAAGAAATTAAAGAGACTTAGTCTCACCTGTAGTTTATAGATCTATAATATTTCGTGACAGCTTCTGACTTACAGCTTTGACCTCCTGCAGCAGAATGAGAGCATGGCTGTAGTTTGGAGGCTCTCCGTCCAGCTGCTCCTGAAGACTGTCCCAAAACGCCTGATGAACGATCTCTGTCACGCTGGCCTCGAGGCTACATGAAGAAAAGGATTTCGGAGGGGAGGGGCAGACCCAGCTGAAAACAGACTAAACTCTCAAATAATTTTGAAAAAAAAAAGCACAACCAAGGTCACTTTAATTATAGTGGAGTGTTTTTCTTACCTGTGTGTGGGAGGGCTCTTGGGTTTGAAGCTCAAGTCTTTGTTCACCACTATCTCATGTGCAAGGCTCAGGTTGGAAACACAGTTTTCCAGCTCCATCAGACTGGATAATGAGGCAGTGGGTGGGCTCCCTGACACCAGACAGAGACACACACAGAGATAATTAGAACCACTATGGTGGTAATAATTCAATCACTAATGGCCCCAGAAAACAATAACTGCTATAATAAAGCTTTATACCTGTAGGAGAGCCGAGTTTCTCCAGACGGGGAAGGTCAGTGGAGGAATCATCAGCTGCGTCGTCTCTTTTATTCTGCATTTCAGCGACAGTCTAGACATTGAAATTACTCCATAACTAACAAACTCAACAATGCTTGATAAAACTAGTCATTTCTTTTTAGAACAGTCTGTACAATAAAAACACAAACATTTGATAGTTCAGTTGCAACTGTTTGCATCTTTTGTCATATAGTAATATTTTGGGAAATAAGACATTTTATAGATAAAAATCATGTATGAATTAATCAACAAATAATCCCCAGATTGAGTAATGAAAATAATATCTAATATCCATCTAATATCCTACAGCAATTTAGTAATATACTATCACTGCGCTATCAACCAGCATACAATTTGATTTTACAGTAAAAACCAAATTAGTAAAACAAATACTCTGACAAGGTAAAGTTATGCTAAAGTAAACACAGGACCCTTCTCATAATAATGTATATTATTGGATTTAAAGTTACTGATGCATTCATTTGTAAAGATGGGGCTAATTTTAATTAACAATATTCTACAGCTATGCCAAACACAGTCTGGTTTTCCTAGTTTGTGATGATTGTGTGATTTCATCTGTTTGACATCATTAGGTTAACTCAGTAGCCTTTCTCTGGGGTTTTACCTAACGAAACAAAACATTTTGGACTATTTCCTGACATTTTTAAAGTTGTTAAATGGTTCATCTTAAGGAAAATAATCCCAGGCACAAAAAGAAGTATACATTTTTAGAGGGTGACTTACTTGTGTTGGTATTTCGCTGAGTTTATAAACTTGGGTCACGGACTTGAACGTCACAAACCGCGTCCATCCGTTTAAAAAGCCACGGAGAACAAACCACTGTCAAGTTCAAAAATGGGCTAAACCATTCTTAACGACTCACGGGGGTCATTTAAAAATGACCGATTTCGTTAACGTTTCCAGACACGACCTAAGCCGATTTCCGCGACTGTTCCGTCACACAATGCGTGGGTATAAACGCGTTGAATGCTCGACTTATGCTCATCCACAGACCAAACAATGGGAAAAAAGAAGACGGCTTAGTTTGGTTTGGTCCGTTCTCAAATCCAAACAGTGGGCGTGTCTGTACCGAACTCTCCGCCCACCTGACGGCAGCACGTCACTGCGTTTGAATCACAACTCACCGTACCTGTTTGGACAAACAAACCACTGTGTGTTTGTATAAAATAGCCTGTGACTATCATGTGTGAACATGAACAAGTACACATTACAAAGCCCAAAAATAAAAACTTGTATTTTTTCCCCAGTAGTCCACATTCTTGTATGGGTTTTAGCCTAAAGCTCTATGTCGATATTTCATGCTACTTGTATTAATGCGAGTTCTATTTGGTTATCTTTTATTTTATCAACACTTTGTGTCACTTTTTATAATTGTCGGTGAAACCTAAAATCAAACCGGTTTGTAGCATTAAATAAAAGGAACAAGGTAAATATACTCCAAGTAGAAGTCTTGCAGAAAATCATGTGACTGGTATAATAAATTACATATTATTAAAGTTTACTGATGCATCATTGTGCAAACAGCGTGTGGAGCTATTTTTATTATATGCAATGTTCAGGCTCCTTCGAATGATTACAAGATAAATCTGAAGGGTCTTAAATGATCAACAGGAGAGGATAAAAACAGAGGCTCTAATGCAAAATCTGATTTAATGCTACCTTTTTTTGTGAAATGTGGGACAAACAAACCTCTTTCAGTTTTCAACAATTATTTAGATGAAGCCACATGAGAAGACAGAACATTTTTGGTGAAACTGACAACTCAAATCTCAAGCATGGCAAGACGTCACAGCGACACTGATATTCCCTCCAAACTGTAGTGGTGAAAAGTGTTAAGATGGAATTACTCAGACCTGTGAAAAGTATTAAGATGGAATTACTCAGACCTGTGAAAAGTGTTAAGATGGAATTACTCAGACCTGTGAAAAGTGTTAAGATGGAATTACTCAGACCTGTGAAAAGTGTTAAGATGGAATTACTCAGACCTGCCCACTTTCATCTCTCTTGTATGTAACCCGATTGGAGTGTTGGCTGCCTATAAATCTGATCCGTCTTTGAGAAGGCACTGTGGTAGAGATTAAAATACTGAAGGTGAACAGTTTCTCCTTCAGAATAACATCATCATAAATTCACTAATTCATCAGAAGACTACCAGCACTGGCGGGGTTTTTTTTTGTTTGTTTTGACGGTTGTTGTGTAAAAGCTCACAGGGATTGTACCAGCATCGTTTCCACCCTCGTTCTGTAGGCGAGTATAATGAACTATAACCCTGTCCAGTTCAAAATAACTTTTTCTACACAAACACACACACATGTCAAGAACTATACTGCAAATTATTTATAACTGTAAAATGGTGTGTAACAAACTGTTGTGTTAAATACAAGCATTTAACAAAGCATTACCTAAAAAGCTGACCTTCCATCACAGCCATAAAACAGAAATAGATATTTTTTCCCCATTAGAAAAAAAAAAAACAGCATTAAAAAAACTCCTCTCAGGCTAAGATATTTATATATTTGCATATTTCAAAATATTAAACACCATTAAATTTTGTTTTAAAATAATAAGGATAGCTTAGTTTCACACAGTCCTTTTTCATCGCTTGAGCTGCTATGTAAATGTATAAGCTTGTTTGAACTGCTGCACAAATGCCAGTCTCACTTTAGGTGTCTCTTCATATTAAAGCAAAAAAAAACAAACCATTAAGTGCCAAATGCAGAGCTGTGAAGAGCGCAGTGTACCCAGCTTGTTCCTTGATAACTTAGTGTTCTCCTATGAAGCTGAGACAAGAAACTGATATATTTTAGGAAATCATTTTGAAAAAGCAGGGGTAAACATAATTTGTAAATTTACAGTAGAAAACTAGTGAGCTCCCCCTGAACTGAATGATCAATGCCATAAAAGAAGCTGCTTGAAGAGTCTTGTTATGAGAACAGGCAAATGATCCTCGACTGAATAAAAATGAGCAAATTGATGAATGCAATCTTCTGCTCCCTGTCACATGGCCATTTCACACACTAACAAAACCGTACAAATAACATCTAATATACTAATAAATTCAGACTTCACTCGTGTTTATCTCAGTACCTCATTTCAGCAACGACTGTGTTGCAGTATGACCTAACCCAGGCACCTTAGCTCCATCTTCTCCACTGTTTTCCCATTGAATGGCTACAGCTGCTTCCTGGGGGAAACCTGACACCCCGTTTACAGCACAACCGCTATTATCACTTAATCTCTGTTTAGCTATATTGATGTGTTATCTGGTTAATATTTGATAAAGGTCTTTGCACCTACACCCAGTACTAATGAGTGTTCTTGTTATCCATCTTAATGCTGCCAGCATTGTAATCAGATCTTAAAATGTAAAACAAGTACACAGCACAGCAGGTCTCAGATCAAGGAAAGCAATGCTGTTGTATGAGCTCTGCTTTACCTCCTTATGACAGGCACCTTCCGACTGTAAGGACCTTGGGCTAGGTTCACAATACAGGCCTTAATGTTCAAGTCCGATTTTTAGTCAGATCCAATCTCTTTATGATCTCTTTCAGCATGTAATATGAACGTAATCATAGTTAGGTCACATTTCAAGTTTCCTACTGTCGTCTCCCTAATAAGAGCATAAAAGGCCAAAATAAATACTGTATAGATGGTATTTACACCTGGCTGAGATCTGATCACAGTGTGAGGCAGACCACCCCCACGTCTGAAAGCAGTGTGACCATGATGTTCTGCACCAGCATTAACATGCGTTTCTTTATCCAGTAGACATCCAGACACAGCTTGCTTGTTACTTCCAATATTCTCATGTAATATGAGAGTCTACATTTTGGAATTTGGCACAGCTACTGATCTTCTGATTCTTATCTAGAGCAGATCATCAGTGATGTTACCAGGCGTCACCAGGCATTTTGGATCTTTCAAACATCATCCACCCTCGCCAAGTTGACCCAGGTGGGGTTGATCAGACCTCAGCTTCTGCTGCAGCTGGCTGTTGACCACAGATTCCCCCTCTCAATCCGTAGCCATCTCAAGGCTAGGGCTACATGATACAATGTTTTGTGAGTGTGATTTAGATCCCTGTGTGAGCTCAGTCTCAAGTGACAATGACTCTACCGTGTCTGTATCAAACGAAGCGCTCCCTTATCCTTGCTGAGATCGCACAGAGAGCCAAATCACACAAAATGATTTATCGTACAGCCCTACTCGAGGCTCTGTGCTGTGGCTTTCCTCGTCTTCTCTCCTGTGATGCCAAGTGCAGCGAAGGCCCGACAATGGGACTGGACTGCAAGACACCTGCATCTGACCTTACAGCTTTGCATGTGGCAGCCACTGACCAGGCCATCATACATCTCCCTTTTCCTCTCAGAGATCTCCTCAAACTGAGCTGTTGAGCCAGATTAGCCAGCAGCTGCCAGTCCTGTGTTGGGTTGAGGAGCCCTGATGCTGCCTTGGGTGGTTTGGTTGGTTTGTTTCCTGCTCCAACAAAGCTAATGACCAGCTCTGGCAACAGGTGATGGCAAAAGCAGTGGACTCTGTGATGGTCTTGAGCACGCCGCCACAAATGCTGAACTTCACCCAGTGCCTATAGACAGCAGTTCAGAACATGTGACGGGCTTTCCTTCTTTAGGCACAGAGGGCAATGCTGTGTACGAACCAGGCTCCAACAGTGCAGGTTGGATGTAATGGGGATGACATCATGGACTGGCTGGTCTAGGAACATGATGCAGTGTGGATCTGTCCGTCATAGGTCTCTTCACTACATGTGCCCACTTTGTCCAAACACCTCGCTGTCTCATTCCTGTCACTGTGGCTCCTGATTTCAATTTAGTTCACTGCCTACGTTGCTTCTAAGTGGCATAAAACCTGCTTAACTCCTCTGAGTGCATGTAAACCATAGACTGTACAGAAAGATGGACAATGTGACAGCTCCCCAGAAGTGAAGCCACCAGTCCATCTGCCCCGGTGATGATGTAAACACAGACTAACAGCTTCTTAGCTCACACTGTTTCAGGTACTATCTTAATGAATGAATCACCAACAGTTCCACAAACCACATGTATAACTGATCACAAGGTTACTGAGCTGATGCGGGTGAGTTTGAGTTTTAGCAAAAGAAACTGGTCTAGTAACATGGAGAAGGTGAGGTCATAGTGCAGTCAGTACTTTGTGCCATCAGTGCTACGTTAACATCTTTTGCCCTGCTCTTCTCTTTCACACACAAACAAACATTCAGATCAACGTACACACACACACACACACACACACACACGCTCTCTCTGCTGCTATGAGTCTTTGAGCATGTTGATGCGTGCAAAGATCTTGAGTGCAGGTCCCAGTTTAATGTTCATGGTGCTCATGAGGTGGTCCTCTTTCAACAGGAGCAAAGCCTGTCCATCAATCTCCTGAGACCGAAACTCGTCTGCTATCTCCTGACAACCTGAATGCAAGAGGAAAAAAAGTACAAGCTGCTGTAAAAACAGGATTTATAAGCAAAACAGATGTGTAATGTGTAACAGTGACTGTGTCTTTATGCGCTTGTCTGTTTACTCCACTGACCTGGAAGTGATCGGATGAACTCATAAACTTCTTCCACCTTCCACTTAGCAGGGTCGCTGGGTAAAAAGCGCTGAGAAAGCGAAGGCGCATCTCTCCCAGCGCAGCCCTCCTGGTCGGAGGCCCGGCTCGGCTGCCGGCGGATGAGGACCTGAGCCGGGGCAGGAGCCAGGGGTCCTGAGCTGGCTGCTGACAGGGGAGAGGGTGGCTCCTCGTAGCTGGACATGTCTGAGCACGGGCTGGACTCCTCCTGACTAGGTTGTGAGGGATGTGGTGAGGATACAGAACCACTCTGAGTCTGCTGTGGTGAGGGAGACAGCTTCTGAAAAAGAATGATGTCAAGGCTCAGTATTTAAACACCACATGGTTCATCTGTAACATACCTGCAGGCAGTTGATGGGGTTGTTGGATCCATACCAACGCCTCCACGACTGCTTTGTCAGGTCCTGAACCCTCTGGATTATGAAACTCACTTACTTGTCCAAACATGAGACTAAAGCATCCCCCACTGGAGGTTCAATACCCAACCCCTGAGACATTACATAACTCTATAAACATTATGGCTTGTGAAACCTAAAGACAGATGGTCCGTGAGCCAAACAATATTTTCAGCATTACGTAGTGTGATATATTAATTCTCTGCTGAACGTTTGTGCTTTACTACTTGTCAAAATGTAATCATGTCGTGTTGCTTAAATATGTCACATGCTTAAATATTTTGTGGCAAAAAGCTGAAGTACTATTATTAAGATGATTTAGTGCTAAGCAAAATAAATAAGTGTAAAAACCATGCAGATCCAGCTGTGTTTGATGTCTGCATATCT